CTCGATCAGGGGAAGAAGGGTTCTGTGGACTCCAAAACCGATTTTTTTCGCGTTCACCGGATTCTCAACGGCGGTCAGAAACGCCAACCCCTCTCGGGCCGACCTCCGGAAGTGGCGGGCCAATCCCGATCGCACCCCGGGACGAGGCGCCTTTCCCGGCCTGCCCTGGCACCTCGGCGAGGCTGGAAGTCTGGCCCGTCCCCCGCATGTCGCACTTAGTCGTTTTTGCCCTGGACCCGCCACTGGTCAACCCGTTAAAAAAGACACCCAGAGTAGGGGGCGCCATCACACTCCCATGCCCACCAGAGTGAGGCCTCGTGGGCCTCGAGTCGCTCGGAAAAGCCCCTGGAGCTCGGCTTTCACGGTTACTTAGAACCAGAGTAGGGGGCGCCATCACACTCCCATGCCCACCAGAGTGAGGCCTCGTGGGCCTCGAGTCGCTCGGAAAAGCCCCTGGAGCTAATCTTTCACGGTTACGTAGAACCAGAGGAGGGGGCACCATCATACTTCCATGCACGCCAGAGTGAGGCCTCGTGGGCCTGGACTCGCTGGAAAAAGCCCCTGGAGCTCAGCTTTCACGGTTAATTAGAACCAGAGTAGGGGGCGCCATCATACACCCATGCCCAGCCAGAGTTAGGCCTCGTGGGCCTGGACTCGCTCGAAAAGCCCCTGGAGCTCAGCTTTCACGGTTACGTAGAACCAGAGTAGGGGGGCGCCATCATACTCCCATGCCCGCCAGAGTGAGGCCTCGTGGGCCTTGAGTCGCTCGAAAAAGCCCCTGGAGCTCAGCTTTCACGGTTACTTAGAACCAGAGTAGGGGGTGCCATCTTTCTCCCATGCCCGCCAGAGTGAGGCCTCGTGGGCCTCGAGTCGCTCGAAAAAGCCCCCGGAGCCACCGTTCCATCACTTTTCTCCTACCTCTACGGCAGGCGTAATCGCCTACTCCTATGGGGAACCGCACCGCGGCCGCGGGCGAGCTCGGAGCATTGCCCGGGAAAGGTGCTCTGTCCTGGGGAAGGCCGTCGGCAAGGGGGTGGGTGGAAGTCTGACCCGCGCCCGATCGGGAACGCCGAGGCCTAGGAACTTGAAACTAAGGTCGAAGATAGCCCCCGAGGCCCCCTATCCGACGCCGCCTCCCCCGAGTCGATAGCCCCCCGCTGGACGGGGATAGCGCCCCCCAAAGTTGAGATTTTGACCGGCTGTATCTCGCCGGGGCCCAGGAACTTGAAACTCGGTTCGAAGGTAAACCCCGA